CAAAACTGGTAATGCCCAAAAGATGATGCAACACAAAATTATCCCCAGAAAAGAAAAGTAAATATAACTAAATTAAAATTAGGAGTTTCTGTTCATCAAAAGACACCATAAAGAGAGTGAAACTAGATCAGAGAATGGAAGAAAATAATTGCTACCAATTTATTCCATAACTAATTCAGAAGGTGTATTTAAAATTCCAAAACTTAATTACAAAGCCTGTGGAAAATTGCTAAAAGATATGAGCAGACACTTCACAAAAGAAATTGTCCAAATATCTAATGAACATATGAATAGGTTCTCAGTAGCCATGAGGGAAACACTAATTAGAGCACAGTATGTTATACTACTGGCACACAAGAATAGCTGAAGTAAAACAATAGAAAATATCCAGGGCAGACAGGAATATGGAGCAGCTAGTTCTTTCATGCATGTTTGTATACTTTGGCTGGGAAGGTAAATTAGTGTAATCAACTTTGGAAAATAATTTCATCTTTTATTGCATAGTCATATATTAATATAATCTATGATACAGTATTTTTACTCCTAGATTTTTTTTATAGATTTATTTATTTATTATGCATACAAGAACTGGTTGTACCCAGTTCAGGCCTGAGTTGTGGGGGGCAGGGGTTGAGAAGATTCACCAGAGACAGAGTGAGGAGTAGAATAGGCAGATCTACTGAAATACACTGCTGAGGGGAGCAGCAGGTAAGTCAGGAGAGATCTTCTGCACAGTGTGGGTCAGCTCCCTGGCCAGGAATCAGACTCCAGGTGCAGTGGCTGTGGATAGCTTCATAGTGCTGTGTCTTAACCCTTTGTGCCTCCAGGGAGGCCCTATGCCTAGATATTTTAATGCTTGTGTCAGGAGACAGGAGCAAAGCTATTCATGGCAGTGGTGTTCATAACAATGATACAAACATGTACACATACACATGCCACTAATAAGCAAAATGTCCTTCAGCAGCAGAATGGGTGAAGAGGGGTATTTTAACACTATGGAATGTTTCACAGAAATGAATGACATTCAGTGATATAGAGGAATCCTGAGAACATTCATAAAAGAAGGCTGCAAACAAAATGATCCCATTTTCATAAGGCCAAGCACCCAAAAATTAAGCCACACATTTTATCGACTTATGCATGTGGGTGTGGGGTGGGGGAGAGGGGAGGGTGTATTTTAAAATGAAAAGTAATGACAGAAACTCAGAAAACTCATGAAACTCAGAAAACTCCTTTGATTGGTGGGAAAGGGAATAAATGGGTGTAAAATCTCATGGTTTCCATACATCATTGTTGATAATTCAGTTATTTGGATTTGATAATTCAGTTATTTGGATGATTTTTTTTTTTCATTTAAATCTCTTTTTTAGTATTCAAATGTAAAATGCTCAGTATGGACTTCTTGTCCAATGTAGTTCATGCCTGGTGCTGTGAATTGTCAGCTCACTCAACTTGGGTTGTTATCAAGTAAACAATACAGGGAAAATAGATCTGGTCTTTCTTATACTAAGAGATTGAACCCATCTGTATAATTGAGTTATATGCAATCAGCAACATGAATATATATGTGGGTGTGAGAGAGGGCGATTGATTGAATGATGTTCTTAACATATTATGTGACAAAACCACTATCTTGAACAATATGTAAAGGGGTGCATGTTATTTTTTTAAAAGACACACACATATATATATACACACATGTATTTTCCTATTTTTGTGAATGTGTGTATAAGAGAAATCCACATAGGACAACATGGTTATTTCTGAATGGTGGGATTCACTACTTTTGTGTTATTTGTGTCATCTAAAGTGTGAACATATTGTAAAATGTTTTGGGAAGTGGCTCCTCCATATTCTGGCAAACAGGAGAGCAAGGCTATCTGCAAGAGTTGAAGTCTGCAACAGCTATGCAGAATCTGCTGCCTGCTGCCAGGAGGAAAGCCTTCTTTTCACACCCGTGGATGACCAAGTTGCTGATAAATAAGATTTAGTAATGGCGGCCCAGCCTCTGCATCTCTGCAGCCCATTCTTTAGAAAGGAAGAGATTAAATTCAGCTTGACCTACTCAATAGCATCACCCTATCTTTAGACCTGGACAACACAAAATTAGAAAAACCCTGGGCCTCCCTGGTGGCCTAGCGGGTTGAGAACACACTGTGAAGCTATCTGCAGCCTCTGCAGTGGGTTCAATTTCTGGCTTGTCAGGGAGAAACCCACATGGCGTGGCAGACCTCTCCTGACTTGCCCGCTACTCCCCTCAGCAGTGTCTTTGGTCAATCTGCCTGTTCTGTTCCCTACTCTGTCTCTTGTGTATTCTCTAACCCTCCCATGCCTCTGACCTGTACCCCAGTTCTTGTAATAAATAAATAAATCTTTTTTTAAAAAAAGAGTTAGAAAACCCCTGCCAAGCATAATTACATTTTTAATGTCAATGACTCACTGTTCCTCCCTATATAAACTAAATTCATTTTCCTGTTTGTTGGAACAGTTCTCGCAAAGTAGTATCTGTCAGATTGCTTTCCAGTTAGAATCCTCATTTTATCTAGTAAACTCCTTGTCATTGAGACTTTCTTTCCACTTAACAAAAGTTTCAATAGTGAGCTTATAATACAGTTTTCTTCAAAAGTATGTTAATTTTGGTGTCTAATTAATCATCTTGGTACTCCTCAACATTGGGTAAGATGCTGATTCTTTCTATAGCTTTCATGCCCTGAAGCAATCAACAAATAGAACAAATGACATTGAATACATTCTCTTGGCAAATCAACCAGCCCCTAGAGCAGCTTAAATAATCATATCCCAAAGTCTCAAAATCTGTGTGCCACAATGATATGGACTCACAAACTTTTATAATTGATATTTCAGTAGTTTAGTTCCCTGCAACCTCTACAATTTGGCACCTTTCTTTCACATAAAATGAGAAAAAACATAAAGTCCAATAGGACAGGTAAGTTCACTCTCTCGAGAATGTATGTTCCGTCAAGAAAACAGGCACCGAGTTAACACAGAAACCTGGAGCTGTGTGTTAATAGCGCTAAAAACCTGCACGCTCCCTCACAGAGAGCAAGGTGTGGCGGACAGATCCTCTTGCCTAAGTCTATAAAGAAAACCTCATCTCTGTGTGTGTCAGAATCCAGAGATTTATTATAAAGTGATATATTTTCAAAGAGCAGTACAAAGAGTCTTTTAATGCTGGATTTGTCAGAGTCCTCGCCGACATCAAACAGATGCTTTTCAGTTGGAGCATTTGACTCTTAAACTTCAATGTTTCATATGTTAAGTGATTGGAAACTTGGGAACCATGAAGTAATACTTTTCTCTGATTTGGAAAATTTGACTCTTTAACAATGAAACTTTAGATGCATATTAAGAAATGCTTGAGAAGTGGTATAGTGTTTTCTTTCTAAAGAGACAATCATTTGGCCCAGTAATATCACTGTTTCAAGGATAAAAAATATCTGAAATTTATTTCATGTCAACAAGAGGCTTTTTTTAACCCTCTCTATCCTTTCCCTTTTTATTCACCCCCATTTCTCAATGATTTCTTCTTAAAAATCAAAAAGTACTACGTGTGTGAGGCTTTAATAAAAGACTTCTAAAGAGGGTCATTTAATTTTTGGATTGAAGAGGTATATCTTATGCCAGAGTTGAATGGCTGTCATGCCATATTCTTAAAAAAATATGGTGCCTCTCCTCAATTGAAGCTATGGTCAATGTTTATAATTTTGCAAACATTTTAACCCAGATGTAATGAGCTGGTTATTTTGTGCTTTCCTGGTTACCAGTCAATCACATTATAAACCACACAAAGCTTGCAAACTGGAAGAAGCAAAGCCTAGCTTTGGTTTATGACCCTATTCAACTTTTGGCCCAATGGATTCTAACTACATCTTGAATAGGATCATAAAGGAAAGCACTATTGCTTTGGATTTAAGAAGTATGCAGTGCCCAGCATTCCTAGTGCACAGGACTGACAGCTGGGCCACCCAACATGATCTTAAATCTGGACCATAAATAATAGAGTACAAACTGCAACTTTCCCTAGTAGAGAAACTTACAAATTTCACTTGACAGATGCTTCTTTATAAACTTTTTACAGTATATATTTTAAATTTACTTAACAAATACAGCAAACCTTCAATTTGGATTCTATTATTCATTCTTCAGAAACAAAAACTAGATTAAAAGGAATTAGCGTTTCTTGATAATCATGTACCAGAAACTGACACATTCTTCCAAAAGTTTGCTTTTGCTTAATAGGCCATTACGAATATTAGCAGTAATAATATTCTATTAAACACTTATTGTAGCAGATATGGTCCTATCTGATTTTTTTCTTATATGTTTAATTGAATATTCAAGACAGTCTTGATGGAGAGAAAACAAATTCACAGGGAAGGGTTTATTTGACCTAGGTTCATTTCATGATAGACCCAGAGTTCCTACTTAGGTGGCCTCATGTTTAGTTCCTGGTCTTTCTACCACAGGTTATTCCTTTGTTTTATAGAAGATAAATTAGGGTTAAGTCTTCTTGTAAGTTTGGCTTTGTCATAAATAGAGGGAATTTTGGTATCAGTCATTCCAAGCTGGGCAACAACATAGAGTGAGAGGTAGGTGTGCTGATGTTCAGGGAAGCAGTAAATAATTGCCTTTTCTTCTCCTCTCAAGTTCAAATACAAATACACTGACTGAGAAATCAGACCCAGATGGAGGTGAAGATGTGGCCTTATTACCAATAAAGTCTGTTGGATGACATTCCTTTAGGACTGTTGATGAAAAAGTCTGACAATTCCATTTCAAGGCTAGGCTTTGAGTCAGCCTACTTTATAGGAATATTGAGGATGAGAGATGGCTCTCTTCCTGGCTTATAGATGGCTGTGTCCTCAGTTTTGGGGGTAGGGAGGGAGAGAGAGAGAGAGAGCATTTATGCCATCATGAAGCTCTATACTTATGACCTCATATAAACTCAATTATCTTCCAAATCTGACTCCAAATACCATCACAGTGTGGATGGGGGCTTCAAAAAAAACTTTCAGTCCACAGCAATAGGTGAAGCCAGTTTCACTGGAAGGTAATGGAACTTAAAAGAACTCAACTCTGAAATAACAGTTTAGGAAGTTCATAATTTAAAATCAAAGAGACTGAAACATTATTCTCACTTAATTTGTGCCTTGATATAGTAGTTCTATTTTTATTTTAACATTATCTTCAGATAATGAAGAAAAGAATAATTTCTTTATGGAAATAGACTTTAGAAATGCACTTGTTCAATTTTAGCATTTGGGCTACTACATCACATACTTTTACTCCACTGCATTCCTTAGGACATAATTTCAACTTGTGTAAAACCTTAGGTCTATCACTATGTCATGACAGATTCATTTTGAAGGGATGCCTTGATCATTCTGATGGTTTTTCTAGGCTTGTTTAAAAACATAGTTTCAATAATGACATTTATAAATTATCTTCCTCTATGCTGTCTCCGTGGTACTAATTAACCAATATTGCCATTCGTATTTTCAGAAAGAAGTACAAAGTCACTAGTAATATCAGTCTTCCAGTAGTGATTCTTACCCAACTGTATCATGAAAACCACACAAGCACACAACTGTGGTATGGCTTGCTGCAGAATATGGTTTATATTTTTTCATGTTTTACAACCAGGTCCTCTAGATTCCATATTATAACATATTGTCTTTTCCCATTTAGAGTCATTGGTTGACTAGTGTTTAATGATACTGGAAATATTGTACCCCTTTCTTCAACCCAGTTAAAAATATTTTATCTTAATGAATTGTTTGCAAATTCATTGGTTACCATCTTAAAGAGTAGGGAAAATAGGGCCTCCCTGGTGGCGCAGGCAGTTGAACACAGTGCTGTGAAGTTGTCTGCAGCCTCTGCAGTGCCGGTTCGATCCCCGCCAGCCTCGGAGCAAACCACATAGTGAGCAGACCTCTCCTGTCTTGCCCGCTGCTCCCCTCAGCAGTGCATTTTGTCAGTCTGCTTGTTCTGTTCCCCGCTCTGTCTCTGGTGAATCCCCTTGCCCTCCTGCACATCTGGCCTGTACTCCTGCTTTTGTATAAATAAAAAAAAAGAGTAGGGAAAATACCAATGATCACATGAAAATGGGCAACTGAACAGATTCAATTATTACTATTGGATTAAAATGTCTATCAGGGAAAATGCTGTAATTTAACTTTACTCCAGGACTACATGTGAAGAGTTTAAATATGATGACGTATTCTAGACACATACCTGAGGAGCTGCTAAGATTTCCATTATCATCCTTACTTATCAGGAGTTTATATCATATTTAGTTTTGCTATCAATTGGAATCTAATACCTAATCTCACCTTTCAGTTTAGACATTATCATTTAAAATGATTTTATATGCTAATACATAAAACAGCCACATATACTACAAGGCACACACACAGTTCTGTGATAAAATATTTTTTCTATACCCCAAGGTAATGCTTCTTCATAAAGGGAATTTCCCTGCCATCTTGACCAACTCCCTAAACTTTCATCATATTTCTGTCCTCCTCATGTACAGCTGGAGTCCTATTTGTTCATCTTTTAGTCATTTGCTAATTTAATAAACACAAACCGAGTAAGTGACTACCCAACTGGGCTTTATTCTGGAAGCTGCATTCAAATCCCAGCACTTTATAATCTGCTCCATTTGTAAAATGGTGGTAATGATACATTTCCTGTCACGCTGCTTGACACACAGAAAACTGAATGAGTATTAACTGTTACTATCTAGTTGTCTCACTAGCTGGGCGAGAGACAGAGGATTAAAACATATAAATGAAAAAAAGACAGTGATTTCTCCTGAGATGTGGACTTTCTGAAAGAGACCCTCAACAAACTGTACATAATCCACACACCTTTGAACACCTCCTCAGGCTTATTCACTGTATGCCCAGCATGATATCTACCACGCTCTTCTGTCTTTTAATACCCTCTTGATTTCATATGCACAGTGGCCAAAACTTACTTATTTCATAACAGTAATGCTTATCCTCATACTCTAATAGTGTTTTACATGTGAAGAATTAAAATATTAACTTATTTTTTAAATGGCTAATTTTATTTTATTTTATTTTTTAAAGATTTATTTATTTATTTATATAAGCACCGGGTACAGTCAGAAGCACGGGAGGGTGAGAGAATTCCCCAGAGCCAGAGCGGGGAGCAGAGCAGGCAGAAGGACTGAAGTACACTGCTGAGGGGAGCAGCGGGCGGCAGGAGAGGTCTGCGCGCCATGTGGGACCCTCCTCCGGTGGCCGGGGAGCAGCCGGGGATCGAACCGGCGGCGCTGCAGAGGCTGCGGGCAGCTTCACAACCCAGGGCTCAACTGTTGCGCCACCGGGGAGGCCCTAAATGGCTAATTTTAAAGGACATGAGGTTTATGTTGTGATTTGTGCTGGTAGACATAGGGTCTTATTTTATTACCCACTGTTTGATTTTCTCTCATAGTTTCAACATTGTAGAGCAGGTATTATGTTGAAAGTCTGCAGTTGTTTAAGACATTGCCTCAGAAACTAAGTAAATCTTTTATATCTGGACTATTGCTATCAATTTGCTTAGAAAAGAAATTCTCCCTTAACACAGCATATGCAATTCAGAGAAGCATTTCTCAGACCAGTGAAATTATTCTCTGAATAGTGATTGCTCTGATGTGTTCTCACAGAATCATATTCCTATAGATCCTTAAAGACTGTAGGAGTCATCTAGCCCATACCCCTCTGTCAGAACTTGAGGAAGCCACGATAGAGAGATGTGAGTGGTCTGCCCAAAACCATAGCCACATTAACCTGTAGTTAATGTCCCAGCCAGGTTTGTATATTCCCACTCATGCATCCACTCATTCCGTACATTCATTCTACCTTCACTTCTCATTATCTCATTTATCAAGTAGGGACATACTGAGCAAATTGCATGTTGTTCATATGATAGATAGCTGGGGATGAAGTGGAAAATGAGACAGTTCTATTAGTCTGTACATTTTTTTTGAGCGGTCAGCTGGGCAGATGGATGGGATACTAAGCAAGAAATTTAAGTGTAGGTGAAATAAAATAGGAGGTACAGGATGCTAACAAAAATTCCAGAGGGAATCCACCACTGACATGGAGCTCCCAGAAACTTTTGAGGAAGAGAAGTCTAAGATGAAGTCTGAAAAAAGAATAGGCAAAAAAACAGAGAAGATGGAGATGAGAGTACTGGAGAGCTGATGATCAAGCCAGGCACAGCAGTAGCATAACTAATATAACTATACAAAATGGCGCCCTGTGTTGTAATTACTAGTATTGCCTATGATTCGAGGCTTAATATCAATCACATTACCCACTAAATGTGTTGACAAAATTTTTGGTAACTGTTGAAAAGTTCTCACTGCCACGTTTTTCTCTCCACACAGGATCCAAGACATTGTTAAGGGTCATAACTGGGTCAGTTCGATCCCCAAGATAATTATACTTGAAAAAGTAATTTTATGTTTTAATGAAAAGAAAATATAAAGTATTTAAGCAATGAACTTTGAAGTTTATGGAACCCATATTTTATTTTGCTGATAATTTATTTAGCATAATAAGCACTCTCAAAATTTTCTCAACTTCAATGTGTAGCAAGTAATTTACATTGACAGGGCCTATATTTGTGTTAACCTGACTTTTTGTGCTGCTTTAGCCAATGATTTCCAATTTCAAAACAGTCAATTAGCAGTCTTACTTTGTTAGCATTTTCTATGAACCCATATGGTTTTAGGAGTTAAACCTAAACTAAAAAAGTGCTTTCTCATGTTTAATTGACATTTCACTGATTTGAAAATTCATAAAATGTGTAAGTAGATTATTCAAATATCTAGTTCATTACTTTGGTATTTGATGCTGTCACAGATTACTGACTAGCGCAGCTCTGAGGTAGATGACAACCACTGTGACAAGTATTATGTGAAGGAGTGGACAGCTGCAGGAAAGAGACACAAAGGGACACTCTTTTGTTTATTAGAAGGTTGTCTTATGAGCTCCATTAAGGTTTTGAAGAAATGAGTGTCTGGGGCCTCCCCTGGTGGTGCCGCAGTTGAGTGCTGGGCTGCGAAGCTGCCTGCAGCCTCTGCAGAACCGGTTCGATCCCCGGCCTCTGGCGAGGGTCCCACATGGCACACAGACCTCTCCTGCCACATCCGCTGCTCCCCTCAGCAGTGTATTTCATGTCTGCCTGTTCTGTTCCCTGCTCTGGCTGGTGAATTCTCTCACCCTCCCGTACTTCTGACTGTACCCAGAGCTTGTATAAATAAGTAAATAAATCTTAAAAAAAAAAAAAAAAGAAAAGAAAAGAAATGAGTGTCTGGAACAAGTACATTTGAAACTAACATGATACCTGATGTGGACAACTAAAGCCATGCAGATATTTGTAATATAATCCTTCACACAGACTAGAGGTGTCATTATTTTCTTTGAGGTACTAACAAATGCTGTAATTGCTAATGCCACCTAGCCATGAATCTTAGCATCACATTATTCAATAAAATATATTGAACAAAACTGTGGCAACTGTTGAAAACTTTGCCTCTCCCTTTCCCCACCCCCTACAGGAAACCACATCTTCTCACATCCAATACCCCTAATAGTAAGAGCAGTCCCCTGCCTGAAAGAATCGTGTGCTCCTAGAGGGGTAGGATCCAGACACATGTGGAAGTGAATAACTTCAGTCTTCCCACATAGGACCTATAGAGTACACATTTTCCTTTTTTTAATTTTTAATGTCCATATGTTTGTTTTCTGGAAACCCAAGTCTCATTACCTGCTCCTATTATTCTACTGTATAACAATTTTATCTGTAGGCCATTCACATAAAGACTAATTTCTTTGATAGAAATGCTCATTTAAGTTCATTATAATGAAAATAATAATGTGGGAATCCCAAGCTAGTGCTGGACCTCAGGACCAGACCTTTAGTCCTTTCCCCAGTAATAGAACTTCCCCATGTTAACCTATTCTCTTGGCTCCCTACACAAATGTGCTGAAGAATAGGGCACACATTTTATTAAATGTCGGCAACTCGGATATAAAACAATCACGGTGTACTTAATCTCCATATTGGCTTTGAGAAGTCTTACCCCTGCCAAGACTGTGCTTGAATTCAGAGGCTCACATACACAATGAATCTGTCTTAGAAAATCATGTAGGAAGTAGATAACTTTAATTCTGAATATACTGCACAGAAGTGTATACATCCATAGAAAAAATGGCCACACTTCATTTTTGTGCTACTCTGCAAATCCTCTTTGGTCAGACCAAACAATCCAACGCTGACCTTGAAATAGATGGTCTGAAATATTAAATATCCATTGAAATCAAGTCAGATCCTTGTTCTACATCCATTTTTAAATCTTTTATTTGGTTGTTGTTGATTTGTAGTTCTTCACATATTCTAGATGTGCCTTTATTCATATGCATATTTGTGTGACTATATTGGTATAGTCAAGCTAATCTCTTCTTGACAGAAAATGCAAAAACTTTTAGTGCAGATGGAGATTCAGACAGGTTCTGGCGTCTTGTATCCCTGCACTGTTTGAGATTTTAGGATAGTCCTTCCATTGCTCCCATTGTGGGATGTCTCCCATGTTCTCCTCTCACATGTTTCAAAAGATCCCTTCTACTTTCTCATCATCTGGATCCCATCCCCACGCATGCAAGACATTTGCCCATGTGACTCTCATTTGTACAAAATTGTTAAGGGGTCTGAAGGATGATTTACTTAAAATTCCAAGCATTTCAATGCACTGGCAAGAGAGACTAATTTAAAAGTAGAATTATATTTCTTAGAAATGCCCTATGTAAGTTAGCTGTCATTGTTAGTGGCCTCAGTAGCTATTTTTAAGGATTTATAGGACTACATTTTGACAAGTAACTTTTTAAGAGCCTTTAAAAATGCCTTCTCAATCAGAACAGTGTCCACTTGGGTGGGTGGTCATGCAGGGTGCTGTGAGTCTCACATAAAGACTGGGCTGAGACATGTCTGTGTGTTCTCCTTCAGCATCGGCTCTTCACCTAGGATGGCCCTTCGTGAAAACAACTTCCCACCAGCACCCTAAAAGTCTTCTGGGGCCAATCTGTGCATCCCAGATGCTCATTGGAATAACACTTCTGACTAAGAACCAACCAAGGCGACGTAGACAGATTCTTACATTTAGGGATTGGAAGCTGTCTGGTAAATTTTAATTACAATTACACCTAAGATTTTTAATGACATGAGATTAACTTCATAGATATTTTACCTGTATTTTGCTTTCAGACATGATTAAAAGTGTATGGAAAGGACCAAACAACCTTAGTTTAATTCATTTTCTTTTGCAGTGAATTGATGTTGCTCGGCCATTCAAACAGCAACAAACACTAATTCTGTAGTTACCAAGTATTGGAATAATAAAAGGAACTCAGCTCCTTTTCCCTTGTTTTCAAAATGTCCTCCACACACAGTGGTTCATGATAGTTCATAAGTATAAACTTGGGAAAGTTAGCTAAAAGCGCAGATGAAGATATGAACCAGGAGGAAAAGCCACAGAAGACTCCCTCAGACAATGAAACATCACTTTTCCATGATATTCTAGGACTTGAAATATTGTTCTGATTCAGACATCCTAGCTACTATGAAGTGCCTTCATATATCATGTGCTTCAACTCCATTTTTATTTTTATTAGCATTTAGAATTTGATTTTACAAGAATTTATTAGATTTGACTCTAATATTGCAAAATAGTTCCTTCATGTTTAATTATTTTAATTATTTTGATATTTACATATCTCTGAATTACATTTTTTTTACTGTTATTTCTTGATAGGGTACCAAGAGGTGTGCACACTGTCACTTCTATGTTTCAGTCCAAGAGGAATTAACCTAATGCAATCATAAGGAAGTGTCAGAAAAATCTGTCAACACCAGCTGACAAAGTAACTTGCCTAAAAGTTTTAAGAGTATCAAGGTCAAAGAAAGACTGAAGATCAAAGGCAACTAAAGAGACAGAACAACTAAATGTACTGTGCAATCTGGTGCTGATTCTTTTTCTATAAAAGATATTAATTGAACCCTTCATGAAACTTGAATGAGGTATGAGGATTAGCCACAAGTTATTGAGTGTTGTGGTTGTACTATGGATCTTTACAATGTTCTTATTTATAGGAAATACCAGTGAAGTATTGGGGACAATGGGGCATTCTGTGATAACTTATTCTCATTTAGTTTAGGGCAATGTTCTTTGTAATCACAACTTTTTATAAATAGAAATTGTGAAAAAATGTTTTAAAATATATACTGGCATATTCTACATACCCAGTTGTTATAAGTCAACCATAAGATACTTAGTTTTAAAATATTATGTTTTACCTCATTGTACAAAATATTTTGACTTAATGAAGCTATTCTTTTTTAAAAATATTTATTTATTTATACAAGAACCAGGGTACAGGCCAGATGCGTGGGAAGGTGAGAGGATTCACCAGAGACAGAGCGGGGAACAGGCAGACTGATGAAATACACTGCTGAGGGGAGCAGCAGGCGCGACAGGAGAAGTCTGCTGTGCCATGTGGGACCCTCGCAGCCAGCCAGGATTGAACTGGTGCTGCAGAGGCTGCAGACAGCTTCTTAGTGCAGCGCTCAACTGCCTGCACCACCAGGGGAGGCCCAAGATATTCTTTATATATCAAGTAAGTGTTTTCCCTGCTTATGATCCTCATTAGATTATTAGTTTGGGAATTAATGGCCCTATTATTTCAATAGAGAAAATGGCAAATATAGTTGAGTAATGAAGACTCACTAATGCACAAGTAATCATTGAGTATCTGTATCGTGCAGGTCACCACACAAAGTGCTATGACATACACCTCAGGGTTGTTAGCAGCAAAGCTGGACCAGAATTTCAGGTCATCGCATGTTCACCCTGTGTTTTTTAATTACTTGTTATCACAAGCACATTTCTTATCAGCTGTGAAATGTGAAATTTTGTTCACATGTGGCTACTTGAAGTGTTGTGTTTCCAGGGATAGAGAACCTGCAGTCTTCTCAGGGAAGAATGTCCTTGTCAGATGAGCAATTTTCACCAGTGTCTGGGAGTGGTGAGTCGGATGCATGTTGTCTGTTTGGCGATATTTTGACTGCTAAATGTTGTCTTCCTAAAAAGTAAATCTAACCTCAGTGGCAACAAAAGTGAAGACAAGACCACATGATCCTGGGGTCTTATAAAATAAATTCAAAAGAACATCTAAAGCAATCTGAGAGTTAAGGAGTCAGCAGGAAGTAATAATTATGCTACCACCCCCTTATTTCACGCCTCTGGTATGCCAGTTATAGTGTAAAGCTCTGAAAAGGAAACTATATGGCCTTGCCCTTGGTTCCCCCTTTGGAGTGAGTGAAGGACCAATAAGTAAAGGACAAATGTAGAACCACGAAAAACAGAGAAACGTTTCCCACAAAGACAACTGGACAGACCTTGGGTCACTCCAAATTTGTGTCTTAAGTTTGTGATATGAAGGAGGAAGAGAGTCTTCCAATGGAGGAAATCACAGATACTATGCTTAAGGGGAAGTTGTAAAAATTGTTTAGTTTTTCTAAGAGTTTTGAGGTGGCAAAAGCTGTGACATGGGAGATAAGACCCAAGAGATGTAGCTGAAATGATAGACGTGAACCAGAATATGAACGGATTAGCTTCTTAGTTAAAAAATAACTTTAATATGGGCCTCCCCGGTGGCGCAGCGGTTGAGCGCTGGGTTGCAAAGCTGCCCGCAGCCTCTGCAGTGCCGGTTCGATCCCCAGCCACCAGGCGAGGGTCCCACATGGCGCGCAGACCTCTCCTGCCGCCCGCTGCTCCCCTCAGCAGTGTACTTCGGTCCTTCTGCCTGCTCTGCTTCCCGCTCTGGCTCGGGTGAATTCTCTCACCCTCCTGCGCCTCTGACTGAACCCAGTGCTTGTATAAATAAATAAATAAATCTTTAAAAAAATAACTTTAATATTATTCTGAAGACAGTTGGAAACCAGCAGGGGTTGCTAGGAAGGGCTGCAAGTATGGAAAACGCTAATATTGAGGAGGCCAGAGGCAGGGAGACCAGATAAAAGCACAATGGAACCAAAAGGCAGGGCCAATGAGCTGGTTTAGAGGCCAAAATGCGAAGATGTTTCTAGAACGTCAAAAGTTTGTTAATTGAGCTGCAAAGATGAGAGCAGAGAAAACTTGGATCATGACACAGACATTATATGGAGGGGGAGTCAATTAAAATAGAAAATTTGCCTACTTTTGAAGACATTGAATGTCTGAAGATGGATGGGAGTCCCAGCAGGAAGTGTGACACATGATGTGGAGCGAGGAACATGTAAAGTCAGAGACACAGTCATGGAGTCAGCTAGAAGCCATATAAGTGGAAGAGCATCCAGAGAGAGAATAAAAATAAAGGCAAGACCAAAAGAAACCTCCCATTAAGGGACTGGCCGTGAAGGAGCCATTGAGAGAGAGAGAAATCTTTGTCTAGAGGTACAAGGAAGGCCATAGTGTCCAGAAGGAGGAGTTTGTGAGAGTATCAGATCCTCTAAAGACTCCAAACAAGGTAAGGACAGGCTATGGAATTCAGAAATGAGAACTCTGATAGAAATGATGGATAATCATTAACAACTCATAAATCTATACCATGATGATAAAAATTAGAGTGGGTCTGGTATTACGTGGAGGCAGAGAGAGAGACCAATACACTTCTTTAATAAAACAGTAAAGATGAAGCCAAAAGCAGCATGAATATAAAATGTCTACAAAGGCAAGGAAATGGCTCTGATTCTAAGATATTTGAAATGTATTTGGATTTTTAGCTATTCTTTCTGCACACCAGCACTATGACCATGTGGTCCTGGGAAAAGAGCATTAGGACTGCTTATTTGGGATTCTGAGTATGTTACTTAACTTCATTTTTTGTCTCCATAGGTGTAAAATGAAAATCTCTAAATTCCCTTCAAGCAATAAAAATTCTTGGTTCTGTGGCAGAACTAAGACAATGTTAACCAGCTGCCCTAAAACATACTTTATGTTTCACAGGATAATTAAGAAACCAAAAAAAATGTATTTCAGCTACTATTTGAAATTGATATGTTTTTCATTTGCCTTTTAAAAGTCCTGTTTTTTGACTTCACTGGAAATTTATTGCTGTTCAAGTGAAATTTTTAAAGAGAACCATTTATTCTGCCAGTTGCATGCCGTGAACTCTGGTTTTAACACTTCTCTCTTGTTATATGATAGAGAAACTGGCTTAATACTCAAGGCCCAAGGGAAAGACTTCCATGTCTCCTAGACACCCCCACCTAATTTTTCAATTTCAATAATTTCATTGGCAAAATAAAGCATACCAGAAGTGGCCAAAATTAATATGTCACGTGTGTCTCTAGTTTCAATTGGACAAGCCAATGATGGACTAGAAAAAATTGGGGTGAGAAGAGAGAAACAGAAAATGAAAACAGTGATTTTTAACTCAGGTAATACTATGCCTTAAGAGTAGGTAGGGAAACATCAAACCAACACAACAATTATTAATTCGTTGCAACAAAAAACAGTAACATGTTATTTTGAAATTATCCCTAAAATAATTTAAAATAAAATGCAAAAGCATCAAACTTTCTGATCACTTCTTTAAAGAAGAAAAGATCCCAGCAGTTCTCAACTAAACTATTAGCAAAAACATAAATGTCTAACCGGCATTTTGCCCAAAATATGATTTCTTCAAAACAGGAAGTTCACTATTCATCGTAGACTCATTCATTATATTCCCAATATAAAAACCACATACAGATCTCATGAACAACCCAGAATGAGAGAACTAAATATCACAAAAGTACTGCACATAGTAACTCAACCGTAGCACAAAGAAAAAATAGTTTAAGCTAATAGTTGACATTTTGCTAAGTATCTGCTCAATATTTCAAATGAAATGTCACACTTATTTTCTAAAGTACTTAAATGCTAGAAAGGAAAGCAGGAGGTTTTCAGGTTGATTAGCAGAATTTGGGGAGTTCATAGGATATGATGGTGACCAAGAGAACATGCATAGTTGATTGGGCAGTAAATGGTCTTCTGTCTCATTTCCTTTCAATGAAGAGAAATTGGGAGGTGGTTGAAGGCTGAGGAGAGAGATCCAACAGTGACGCAAATGGTGCTCGGTGATCTGCTTCTTTCCATGTCTCCAGGGGGTAGGACTGTGGGCAACTTCAGCCCTCTCAAGGGCCCATCTTGCTGTGCTGCCCTTTGCCCTCTTCAGACACAGGTACAGGCCCACTTACCAGCACTGAATGTGGAGGCGGGAATTCACATCCCTACGAGCAGGCCCAGTTGGAATGTTGGCTGGTTCATGTGACCAGTGGAAGGTGTGGTGCAGAAATCTGGCCAAGAACAGGATAGTGGGGCTACCTTCCTGTCTAGAAGCTCCGTAGCTCTATCACACCACCCATGGATCCATTTAAAAATGATATGAAAAACCTCGTGGATTAATTCTGCTTTGGTTTTCTGCAGTTGGGCCTACTAACTTTAAGGGAGTTTTGACCCCCTTATGTGTCCCCTTAAGACAGATGACTTCTCATGGGTGTTGACTAACATTCAGGTTCTCATTGCTGTAGGCTGGGTTTATAGTGTTGATGAGGTCAATCCTCTGAAGAGTGAGAAAGAAACCCCCCAATCTAAAGAAATGAGTGTAAGCAGCTGCCACAGCTCTCAGAACTCAAGTGTGGCTTGCTGACTGCATGGGGCCACTCTCCCTCTCCAGTCCCTTGGATCCATCCCTTCCCCCTCACCTCAGCTGGTTTAAGAAGAAAGATGTTTAGGGCTAGGGGGTGATCTCCCTGTTCCCCAAAGGGTGAGAGAGAGAGAGAGAGAGAGAATGTTCAGGAATGTTGGGAAGGGATGGGATTCAAACTTTCGTGATGAGGGATAGATGCTAGCACCTGAGTCACCATCCTATTGAGTTGCGGGGGTGAGGGGATGCCCAAAATGAGCTGATGGGGTTGGCAGAGTTGTGGTGTCCTGTTCATTCAATGTACTGTTTTTCTGGCTTCCCCTGCTGACATATTGTTAGTATAGCAGGT